AATGAATAATATTAAAAACATTGATTTTGAATTGAGTATAATTAAGGATTGTCTTTACAAAAGCAAAGAATCATAATTCCGTCTTCTATGAGAAAAAATATACTACAGTCATTACATGAAGGTCTCTTGGGAGCAGGAAAAATCAAATCCTTAGCCAAAGATAACATGTGGTGGCCTGGTATAAACAATGACATAGTAATGGAAGTGAAAGGTTGTGACGATTATAACATATATCATCATAATCCTATAAAGATACAAAAACCCTGGGTTTCGGCAACCAAACATTTGAAAGGATACACATAGATTATGCCGGTCCGTTCTTCACAAAAAATTGGTTGATAATAGTCGATGCCTACGGCAAATTTCCAAATATTATTCCTGTTAAAAATATTACGACTTATATTACTTTAAAAGAAATTTTTAAAACTATTTAGCTATATGGAATACCTGAAACTATAGTTACTGATTACGGCACTAACTTTACGAGTAACGATTTTGAAAAATTTTGCAACAATTATGGTATCAAACATGTGCTCACATCTGCTTATAACCAGCAATCCAATGGCCAGGTAGAACGCATGGTGAGAACGTTCAAAACATATGAAGAGGAATATTAAAATTGACCTAGATATCGCACTTGGCAAATTTTTATTTAATTACAGAAATACGCGTAATGATACTACAGGAGTTACACCATCTCAGAGAATGTTTAATCGAGATATTAGAATTAAATGGGACTTATTAAAACCGCTGGAGGAGAAGGAAAATAAAATAAACGTTACTTTACCACGAAATAGAATCTTTAACGTAGGAGATTTTGTTTGGTACAAAGTACAAGGTGATGATAAATGGTGCAAAGGTATGATCACACATAAAGAAAGTGACATGATGTTCCAAATTAAGACAGAGAAAGGTATTTTGAGGAGACATTTAGATCAAATAAGAATTAGAAACTGTTTTAGCACAATTATTAACAGAGTTGGGCAGGTCCTCCGGAAAAAGAATCTAGATACAGATACAGATTCTTTATAAAAAAATTAATCTTAGATACAGATACTAGTATCTTTTTCAAAATACCAAAAAGATACAAGAAAAAAGATACTTGTATCTTTTGCTAAATTAGAGTATCTTAAATACAAGATACTTTTAAATTTTCATTACCAATTAAATTAGAATAGTTTATAAATAGAGTTTTTATTATTTATTTGTGAAAAACATAACATACGCATATAAGAATGAATATTTACAATAATTAATAAAATCTTTATTAATGAGTTAATTATTAATATAATAATAGGCATTTTAATATTAGTTTTTGCCCATTAATAACATAAACAAGGAAGGGAGAGTAGTATATTTAATGGGAGTTTAAAATTTGCAAATAAATAAAAAAATTAAATCAAATTATTTTTTAAAATAATCAATTTTTCAAAAATTTATCATTAAGTCTTTGTCGTTTTGCCGTATTTAACATTGTGCCAAAACTAAATAACCTCTTAACAGGAGCTGATGAGGGTATGGCAGTATTATATTTTAAAAAAATTTCCTTAATTAAAGGATAAAATTTAAGCATTTTGAGTGTTTTTCGCCGGTCTTTAATATAATTTAAAACCTCAAGCTCAACTTTGTTTGTATTATTGAATTTAATAACGTTTGTATCACTAAAAGAAAAATAATCATCATTTTCTTTATTAGATATTATACCTATTGGTGATACATCCTGAGCTTGATGGTATACTATTTGTGCTAGCTCTAATGCTTCGTTTAGTAATATCTTTTGAAAATATTTTTTTTTATCATCAGATTCAATCCATAGATTCTTAAAATATGGATGTGATAATGATGCCAAAAAGGTCTCATTATATTTATTATCATAAGAAAAAAAATTTCCAAATCTTTTCTCCATAGCATTTTGAACAGCTTTTAATAAAGGGAGACAATAAACTTGTTCAAGTTTACCCTAGTCCCTTTTAATTACAAATAATATGGGCACTAATTCCCCATAAAATGTACTACTCTGCCCTTGTAGTTTGTCTAATGCAATTGCTACTGGGCCTAAAACTTTACAATATTCTTCCATGTATACAATATCTATTTTAAAATAGGACAATCAATTGATTCAAATAATATTTTTAAATTTGATTATTTTAGTAATGAAGTGATACTATCATACAAACTGTTCCACCTCGTTACGCATGGAACCTTTAGCTGATAACCACCTGTTATCTCCCTTATCTTTACAGAAGATTTGGGCCTTCCACATGCATTCCATAATTTTGTACATTTCCCCATTACTCCATAATGAATCCTTCCAAGATTCTTTGAGCTCGATATTGATGAAATAATATATTTGTTGCTATTAAGGACAAAGTGTGGCAGGCACACCTGATGTGCCTGAATAATATTGTTTTGTTTATATCATCTAAAGATAAAGATTTTTAAAATATTTTAAAAAATTTGTACTAACCATCATTGATTTTATTAAACTCTAATAGATCATCCTCATCTTCAAAATCATTGTCAAGAACATTTAATTTCACACCATATTCATTAAATGACTTGACAAAATTGGATGCATTATCTGTGACGGGTAGCAATTAGTTTATCAGAAATTCCATACTCTCTATAGACTTCTTCCAATAACTCAGCAATTTTATCAAATGAATGGGTGCCGGGCATTCTTCTACATGCCAATGCTCTTGATTGCCTTTCAAGGGTTTCTCGTGTTATCTTTAAAAATAATTTATTTAAAATAATTAAATTAGATATTAATATTACCCAGTGAGCTGTTATTCCCATAAAACTACGGGTTTTTGTATAACACAAATCTGCCGTGGTGCATATTATGATTGAGCTTTTAAAGTACTTTTTAAAGTATGTACATGATTTTCAAAAATTTCCTCTATTCTTCTCTGCAAAGACCTCCTCGAAAAAATTTTAAATATCTAGAGTATCATATCAATATTTATCTATATATAAATTATCTAACCTTCCATCATTGTAACAAATTCAGGCTGTTCAACTAGGCTCAAAGGGTGTAAACCCTTGACAATAAATGCACATATCAATTTATCAATTTTATTTTGGGTAATTGTTGGTTTTATTTTATTAATTGCATTAAATGATTCTGATATACTAGGTTGAATCATTTTTTTTATGATATTAGAATTTGCTGGTTTTTTTCTGTGCTGTTTTAAATATAGCTTGTATTCAGCATATATACCTAAATGGCATCTCTAATAAAAAAAATATATATATACTAGTTTAGTTTTATTTTATTCATTATCTTTAGTAAGTATTTATCATTACTTGTTTGTGAATTATGATATTTATGTATTTTTTAAATTAGTTTTATTTTCTAATATATTATTCTGTGTTTGTAATATCATATTTAGTTAATTTATCATTTTATAAATATCATTTGAATCTCTTTCAGATTTTTTTAAATCATTACTACTTTATTATAATTATTTTATTAAGAGCCATTTAAAATTATCTAATGTTATATATCAATTGTTGCTTAAATATATCCTATAATAAGAGAACTTTATGGTAGAATTTAACTTTATTAGTTACTTTTATTCATTTATAATATAAGTACAATTATATTACAGTATTTATTTACAAAATTTAATCAATTTAAAATGTATAAAAGAAAAATTGTTATGAGTAATATAAATGTACACCATTTTACATATTTTATATATATAAGTAATGATTTTGCAAGAAAATTATCTCATCTTATATACCAATTGTTGCTTATATATTTCCTATAATAAGAGAACTTGCTAAAATAATTATATAAAACAAATATATATCCAAAATTATTTTAATTTGATAATCAACATCTTCTATAAAAATCCTATAAAGTACGTATGAGCAAATCAGCTGGAGACGCCATTGACACCATGTTGGTTACATCGATGATAAAATTTATAATATAGAAAAATGTAATAAATATCAATTATAATATCCTATAAAATATTCCATGGATATTCTTAACTATTTAGCAGAAATTCATGCAAAATTTAGGGAATCAATTAAAATATCCTCATGGCTATTCTGATGTATTAAGCAGAAATTCATGCAAAATTAAGGATCAATTAAAATATCCTTTCAAATATTCTGGATAAATTATGATTTTACAATAATATTTATAATATAAAAATAAATGCTTAGCTTCAGATACATTCTTAATAATATAACATTTTTTTTTACATATTATAAATAAATATGTAGTATTTATTAAAGTATTATAGTATTTTGTTTAATCTTCTTAAAGTCCAATTCAAAATGATTTTTATATTATTCATAATATTTATTATGATTAAAGAAATGAAATGCTTAAGAATTTAATATTTTAAGTAGTTAAATTGAATCTTATTAACTATTTAACATTTAGCAACCATATAGCAGTTATGGAGAAAATTTAAACCATTTTTACTTTTATTAGGATATCCTTACCCATGTAAAATCTTGATCTCTTGGTATTTATTTTTTCCAATTAGTTTTATTTTATTTATTATTTTTAATAAGTTTTTATCATTCCTTTTTGTAATATTCAATTTTTTATGTTTATTATATTTATTATTGATTTACTATATTTCTTAGGATAAATTCTGTATTGCAAACAAGAGATATATCGCATACAACTTGTTCTTCCTTACATTATATTATCCAGTTTATTTTATCAATAAAACAATTATCATTAATATATTTTTTTTTCAAACAGGTAAAATAAAGATTAATAAAAATAAAATATTTTAAGACCTCATTTATAAAAAATGACCTTAATTTTAGATCAATTTAGCTTACTCTTATCTCTTTATTTTTAGATGAATGGACATATTAATTATATGATGAAAATCAATAATTTTTCAAGATACTAAAGCCTCTAATAAGATTAAATGTTGTATCATTACAAGAAATAGTTTATTATAAATTAGAAAATAGATATAATGTACCATAAATTACGAAATTCATTAATACAGCATCCATATTTTATTATAAATTAGAAAATAGATATAATGTACGATAAATTACAAAATTCATTAATATATAGCATCCATATTTAAATATATACAGTCATAATATAAATTAAAAAAGATCATGTGCCAATATATTTATTGTCCTGCGAATAGAATGGTTTTCGTCAACTTCTGCCGAATATTGATATTTGAATTTTTGTTATGTTTATCTGCATAATGATATAACCTTATGTTTATATAGCGTTCCACTATTAATGTAATTAATATTTGATAATGACTGAATGTACCCTCCTGGTTTAGCATATGATCTACCAGATCATCAAAAATGTTTGTTTCCATTGCTTTAGAAATAACAAATGATACTATGCATTTAAATATAAATGACTTTTTTATTTGATTATTCTTTTCAAAAATACGAAATGCACTTTCTGCTAGTTGACATAATTTAGATATGCTCTTTGAAGGGATTATTAATCCTTGATTGTTTTTTATTTTAATTAAATTGTAGCTCTCATTATCTTCACAAGTTTTATCGATGATAGCAGATATACAATTATAACATTTTACCTTTTTTTCAGATATAAGTTTACGTATTATATAACCAGATATATATGTTGCAACATTATTAAGGTAGAGTGGGATATTTGGCACATCTATAAATGATATATCTATAGGATATATATGGTCATCATCATTATCATTTTTTTGATAATCTCCACAAATAAGGTTAGTATTGTCGATTAGAATACAATTACCTGTTGTTAATGCTTCCATTTTTCCTATCAAGACGGCTCTAACGGCAGATCGTAATTGATAAGCGGATGGATTATTGTTAAACCCTCCTCTGCTGCGTAAACAACTAAAAAATAGTTCAAGATGATCTTGGGAGGTTTTGTAGGTTAAAACGTATCTAAAATATGAAAAATAATTAAGAAAATTAATAATAATTAAGGTTAGTCTTAAGAGGTATAAATATTTTAAAATAAAAATGAAAAAATACCTGAGCTTGAAAAGTAACTAAAAAAATTTATAATAATTAAAATCAGTCTTAAAAGATATGCAAATATTTTAAAATAAAAATGAAAAAATACCTGAGCTTGAAAAGCAACTAAAAAAATTTATAATAATTAAAATCAGTCTTAAAAGATATGCAAATATTTTAAAATAAAAATGAAAAATATATATAAAATATTTGAGTTTGGGAATAGGTCCTAATAATAATTCATTCCCAATACCCAGAATACTTTTCATTGATGTTATTAACCCCATGATGCAGGTTTTTCTATTTGATTCACCTACATATCTTCCATCTTCAAATTTTAGAGCTTTAAGGGTATTAATATATTTTTCAAAAAAATCCTTATAATAGGGAAGGGATCTTTTTGATAATGGAGCCTTAAACCCTTTAGCACAAATATTTCGAGTATTTAAAAAATCAAACACATATTATTAAGATATTTATTTAATACTGATCAATCATTTGAATAAAGTCTACTGTGCCTTCACAGTTTTCAAACCCCTCAATTCCTAGCTCTTGCGCTAAAATAATTCCTTTAGCCACTGAGCTACTAAAAACTTGAACGGCAAGTTTAACCTTTAAAAATAATATTTTAAAAGTATATATTTCTTTTTATTGTACTTTCATTTTCTGCTTATGATACTCAAGATGAGAACGGACAATTTTATTAGCAGCCCTTAGTCCTTCCTTATCCTGTAAATTGTGAAGATTTTTTATATATTTCCAATTTATTATCTATTTGTAAAAATAACATTTAGGAAATATTTTAAAAGTAATTACAGCTCCATTATTATTATTGATTAAATTTTTTTTATCACCGAGCAGATTTCTAAGTAGCTTCATCATATGGCATACCATACATCCAATATAACATACACTTTTTCTTCACAATTACTAGGATGACTAAAATATGGAACACAATTATTTGGATTCAAAGAGGCGCCAAGTATTTGACACATTTTGATATTAGTTGAAAGGCCATCACATACCATTGCCTTACAGATGACCCCAGTATCATGTAATAAATGGAGTGCATTAGTTACTATGTTTGATAAGATCTCAGCACTGAGATAAGCTACTAAAAAATATCCTAAAGGAATTTTCCATGTACCATTTAAACATGTTGCCATAAGAAATAAAGCTTTGCTTGCCTCAGGTAGAGATTCGGAAGGTTTTATTCCATTACCAAAATCTCTATATCCATGAAACACTTTTTTATCCCAATGAATATGTCGCCGAATAGACATTTCATCAAGGCTTAAAATAGTAAATAATTGTACATGCGAATTTGATTGAAATGTTTTAATCCTTTTGAAGGAAGAATCTAAAAAACCTAAATAAAATTATTATAATTATAAATTATATAAATATATTAATTTTAAACCTGGCCTTATTTCTATTTGCTGGCTCCAAGATCTCAATGTAGATTCTGCAGGCATACAGAATTTATTTCTTATATAATTATAAGCTTTGGGTGAATAAAAATGTAATGTGGAAGCAAATTGTTTCATTTGGCTGCTATATTTTATTCTCCGAGGATTATTTAATCCTCCACTATGCACGTGGGTTTTAATAAAAGATAAAGGAAGTCCAGTAAAAAAATCCTCTAGTACATCTTCCCCTTCACCATTTATCAAATGTTTACTTTTCATTTTTTTCATTAGAGATTGTAAATTTAAAATTTTTTTATTTCGTCTATTTCCTCTATCAGAAGATGCCCTCATCTTTTTTCATAACTTTTGAATATATATCTGTTGATATCTCACTTTCCGTGTTAACTGTTAAGGATGGTATATTTGCAGCATATAAATGATCATTTCGATATTTGGGAAATGTAACTACATTATTATTTGCATCTTTACTATTATTTACAGTTAATAATTTTGTTGAGTCAGTGTTTACACAAAGAAGTTTATTGCTAAGTATATCCTATTAATATTTTTTGAAAAGGTATTCATTCAGGTTAGTGGTTCATTAATATTTAGTAAAGACTCATTTTAATTTTCATCGTTAATCAATAAAATTAAATAAATAAATTATATCAATATTTTAATATAGACTTACATGGTTTATATCTCTAACTGATTCATCTAAACACCCACACTCAAGAGTATTATGATAGCTGGTAGATGTTTTCTTAAATAAAATATTATTTGTATAATAAAAAAAATATATTGCTATCCATAAAATCAAAACATATCACTGATGTATATAGTAATTTAATAAATATGGCTCACTGGGCAATTATCTCTAACAGGCTCTTCCAAGCCTTCCACTTCTAGGGTATTAATAGGTATTTCTAATTTTTTCTTAAATATTAATAATAAAATTTTTATTGATCTTTTATAAAGTATATTTTACCTTTTTAGCTCGAACTGATTCATCTAAGCACCTACCTTCAAGGTAATTTGGATAACTGGTAGATGTTTTCTTAAATAAAATATTATTTGTATAATAAAAAAAATATATTGCTATCCATAAAATCAAAACATATCACTGATGTATATAGTAATTTAATAAATATGGCTCACTGGGCTATTATCTCTAACAGGCTCTTCCAAGCCTTCCACTTCTAGAGTATTAATAGGTATTTCTAATTTTTTCTTAAATATTAATAATAAAATTTTTATTGATCTTTTATAAAGTAATAATATTTTACCTTTTTAGCTAAAGAGTAAATATTAGTAGCATAAGTATGATCATTTTTTTCTATATAGTTAAAATTTGTAGGAGTATTATTTGTATTCGATGGAATATTTGTTATCTTAAAAAAATATAATATTTAAAATAAATATATATTCAATATTTATACATCCTGAAGGGGTCTGGAATTAAAAATGGATGGTACAGATCCTTCCTTTAGAATAGCATTCCCTGAATGTGAGGGCATAAAACATTCAGGTTTGAAATGGGCCCACAAAGCTTTGAAAACTTATTAGGAGTGAAATTTTCCTTATTCATTGCCTTTATCCATTTTGATAATAAAATTTCATTATTGATAGGGAACTTTAAAAAAATAATATTAATGTCTTAAATTAAGAAAAGAATCTTATAAAATAATAAATTAAAATATATAACCTATGAAAAGATATTTTTTTATTAAAAGTTAAGCTTGTTGCATGAAGTACAGCGACTCATATCAATCTATCTTTAAATAAAAAACGATCATTATTAATTGAAGATATAGACCATTAAGGATAATTTTAGATGTAATTTTATCAAATAAAGGTAGGGCTGGTCAATTAGATAAATATATATGGGTAGACTAGACAGATAGATAAAGTATAAATATATTATTATTTTTTTATAGTTATATTTATTTTCTTATATAATGTTAAATAAAAAAATAAAAATAATAGATATAAATAAACTATTATTATATGATATTGAATGATAATTATCAAAAAAATTTTATTTTATATTTTTATATAATTTTATTCCTTATTTAATATCATATTCAAATTTGCTATGAGAATTCACATTATAATGAAAAGTTGTTTATTTCTTTTTTGACTATAAAAAATATAAATTTTTCTTTGGATCAAAACAAAAGCTACATTTTAAAACAAAAAAAATTTCAAAAGGGCCTTTGTGTATTTAATATAAATCAGATTCTTTGGCAAAAAGAGAATACTTTATAACAATTTGTTAATCGTGTCAATATTATTGTTTATTTCTGTGTATACTTCTTGTCTTTATTGTCGCTTGCTAAATAGAAGCCTTATTTTGAATATAATAAAATGATAATATACAATGTTTAATCTAAAAAATTATTTTATTATTATGGTATTGATTTTTTATGTCAGTCAGCCAGAATTGAGCTAATAAGTCATTTATGCAATAGTAGTAAGATAACACTATAGATAGCTATTAAAAATAGAATTTTTCTAACGTATAATTTAAATAAGTAACATATAAATTGATAAAAATGCTTGGCTATCAAAGTATTGGCTAATATCTTATTTTCAAGGATAATATTAGACACCTTCAATTGCGAAATAACCTGTTTCATTAAATTTTAAATATAAAGTCATTATTGTAACTATTACTTTTAATATTGATGAGTATCCATTTTGAATTTTTAGATAATTATTTCTGTTATTCAAATAAAATAATTATAAAGCGAACATTTATAAACGAGAGCTTTCGTAATTTTATTAATTTATTTACATAAAAATAAATATATGACGTATTTTGGCGTGCTTGTTAATTTATGAAAAACATGAAAAAAATAGTGCACGCTTACCGTGCATTATCATTAGCCATTCAGATCCTTCAAATATGCATGAATAAAATCGTTACCTTTTTGGGGAAAAATTCGTCACAAAATGATTCTTCCATAATTCTAATGATGATTCTATGAATATTATAATAATTATGTTAATTTAAAAAAAACAAACACACCTGCTTGTTTAGTAAAGCTAAACATGTACTTAATGAAAAACGTGGTTGTTTAAATCAGGGATGTGAACCCTTCGACAAAAAAAAAGGGTCAGAGTTCGGGTCCTGTAATAAATTTAAAAAGGACCCGGGTCCAGGGTTCGGGTCCGGGTTCAGGGAACATAAAAATAATGACTCAAAATAGGACTTTTTTTTCATTCATTTTTTAATTTTTATTATACTTCAATATATACAAATTCATAATTCAAAAGGAAATAATTTATATTTTAAATATTTTATTCAATCGAACAATCATGATATCTTCTAAAATATCTTCCTTCAGATTACCTCGTAAATTGGACAATATATATTTCAACGAAGAAAATCCTCGTTCTACGCTTACCTAAAATAGAGTCATTTTTATAATACATAAATTATTGTACTTGTGTCGCTGGCACAGCCATGACGATTCTAGACAAGGTATATAATTCTGGATATATAGAAGAATTTTCTTCCCAGAATTTTAAAATATTTCCATCTTTATTTATTCTCTTTACTTCGGAGAACTTTTCTAAAGATACAATAGGTATTTTTTGCTCCTTTCTATCTAACGATAATTTGATTTTTTTCTCTCTATCTAATAGTAAAATTTTCAGATCATCAATATTGCTTTTATTATCATTGTTCTCGCCACAATCAGTAGATATTGTAGTAGCCTCCAATATATTGTTAATAATAGAGTTTTGGGTATGCCATAAATCCTCAAGATGGTTTATAGCCATTTGTTTTTGCTCAATACTTAATAAAATTTGATATCGAGGGTCTAAATATATTGAAGTATATACAACACTATTTTGTAAATATTGTTGCTCTCTAATTTTCATATTTTCTAATATTTCATATGAAAAAAAATTTGTAAATCTTTCTAACTCTAATCGACATCTTATCCATATGCCATAAAAATCCGATAAACATAACTGTTCTGCTTGCAATCTTAATGTAGTTATTTTTAAAGGAACCAACACACTAGTAAGGTCTTTTATTTGATTCCAATCATCCCGACAAAATTACTTCATATGCTCCTATAATAAAATCATTACAGAAATCTTTCAAACTTATTAATCGCTCTAGCATCATACAAATAGAGGACCAACGTGTTGTGCAATCTAATATTGCCATTTGCCTTTTCATCGATTTTAATATTCTTACAATTGTGGGAGTTCTTAAATATTTTGCAACATCCCTTGCTTTATCAATTATAGTTTTAAATTGATTATTTTTTAAGGAATCATTAATAGCCAATTGTAACGTATGGGCTACAGGGCTGCACATCTGATACAGTATATTTTTGTGGAGAAATCTTTTATTATTTCCTGTAAATCAATTTGACTTATTTCCTCATAATTATCATCATCATCTATATCATCCATTTCTTCCAGTGAACATTCATTTAATAATTTGATTGATTTTACGAGATTAGCACCGTTGTCTATAGTAATTGTATAAACGTTTCTAATAGGAATATTAAATTTATTTAATGTTTCTAGTATCATTCTTTTTATATTTTCAGAAGTTGAACTCTCCTTAATCTCCTTCATAGCTAAATTTCTTAATTATATTATCTCCTTTTATATACTGTATATTTATTCCTAGAATATTTCTCTCTAATCTTTGGGCGGAATCAATTTTTAATGAAATTAATTTGTTTTTTGTTTCATTTATTATTTTTGCTTGTATTTTTTTCGATTCATTAACCCCTAAGTCCTTAATTTTAAAGCGATAAATTGATGTTCCAATTGCTTTACTAATAGGGTCAATAATTTTTTTAAACCCGAATCCTCAATAATATTCAAAGGTCTTCCATTTACTGTAACAAGTTCAACTAAAGCATTCATAAATATCTCTTCACACATTTTAATATGAATGCTTTTTTTAAGCAATATTTTTCAATATTATTTTCATTCTTCTTTAAAATACTGACTGTAGGCTTTTTAACAATGTCTTCTGCCAAAAATTTGGTTTTTCTATTTAAATATTCCTCAAAGATTATAGAATGATGTCTTTTTAAATGTCTTTCCAGGTTAGTATTGTGTGAACCTTTTATCATTATGTGGCAGGTTTTGCACTCAGAATCCTCTTTAGTTGTATTATAATACTCTCACAAAATATCTTTTACTTTTATACTAAAAAACAATTTAATTTGTTTAAAACTTAAAAGTATAGACACATAGAAATATTTTTTTTATTAAGGCTGCATCCAAAATCTTAAAAATATAAATAAATTTTTAAGAAAAAAATTACATAATCTATTTTTAATGTAAAAATAAAATAGTGTTTAATTTCATTTTTCATATTTAAAAAAATTTCACAAATTTTTATAAAAAATTAGTAAGTACAATTTTTCTTAATGCTGTTAATTTTTTTAAA